TGTGCTCCCCTGAGTTTGATTGCTGTCAATTCTACAGATAAGAGAGAACATACAGTATTTGTCCTTCTGTGCCTGACTTATTTTACTTAGCATAATGTTCTCCAGTTCCATCAAGGTTGTCACAACTGATAGAATTTCTTTCTTTTTAAAGGCCAAATAGTATTCCATTGTGTCCATATACTATATCTGTCAAAATGGCTTTTATAAAAACGACAGAAGATGACAAGTGCTGGCGAGGATGTGGAGAAAAGAGAGCTGTTGTACACTGTTGGTGGGAATGTAAATTAGTGCAGCCATATGCAGAACACTATGAAGGCTTCTCAAAAAACTGGTAATAGAACTACCATATGATCCAGAAATCTCACTTCTGGGGATGTACGCAAAAGATGTGAAATTTGTTTATGGAAAAGCTATCTACACCCCCATGTTTATTGCAGTGGTATTCACAGTAGCCACGTTATGAAATCAACCTGTGTACATCAACAGATAAATGGATAAAGAATATTCTTTAGAAACATTTATGGACAACTTTCTTGATCGCATATACATTATTCACCAAAGTAACTAATATATTTGGCTTATTAAGTGTCATTTAGCACAGTGGCCAGTTTGGTGTTTCCCCTGCCTAAAAATGGTCAGAACCACCATGATTGGTTGAAAATATTGGCTAAATTTGGACTCAGAGGAAATCAGAATATTTAAATTTCAAGCAAGTTTCTCATTTTTACTTTGGAAATGGTAATTAGAAACTCGAATTCCAGCCATTGCCTGAGTTACCTTTTAAGGAAATTTTGGTTAATCTGCTCAAACACATTGTGAGCAGTTTGGTAGCAGGTTTTGCATATTGTGTATCTTTGGATCCCTTAATAGCAATAAACACTGTGGTTAAGAACATCTGTATTAAAGTAGATGAAAATAGACTTAACTCCTGGCCTTGTCTCTTACTAGCTTTGAGACTGTGGACAAGTTCCTCAACCTCTCTAAGCCTCTAAAATGGAAATGCTAGTAGTGTTCCATATTAAAATCATCATTATTTTTTTTCTTAATAGAATACTATATTTTGCTGTCACTCTATAAATGTTTGGGTGATTGGTTATAGTGCTTACTCAGGCAAATACAAGATTTGGAAAATAAAGTGAGAAAGGAACCATAGTCATCATTACACTAATTTATTTTATCCCTATATAGTAGAAACAAGACCACAGGATATTATATAAATAGTATATAAATATGGCTGAACCATTCAGTTCTTGTCCCGTTCCCATTCTGAAGGAGGCTTCAGCCCATCACTTCATCTGTTCCAAACTAAGTTACATTCAACAGTGCTTTGGGATGAAATGGGGAATTTTACTGATGATTTCATGGTGGGTCGGGGGTTGGAAAGATGATTTTTATCTGACAGCCTCAGGCAAAATGTAAAGAAAAATGAACAGTAGACAGTTTTGTTCTTCCCAGAAATATAGCTTTCATGTCTCCTTTCAGTATTGAACCTCCTTTTCTCTCAAATATCCTCTCTTGTAAGAAATTTGGCTTTCTTCAAGTTTGCTTGCCTATCACCCACAAATCCTACAATGAAATGAAACTACCTGCCTTAGAAAGCAGTTTATAGATTATCTGTAGCTTTTCCAAATGTGCCCCCTTGTGGGTCTCACACTTCTATTACGAATGCCCCATCCCACTTAGCTCAGCAGAGGATTCCCCCCACAAAGACTGGGCTCTTCTTGGAAGGAGATTCTGATATTAAAAAAATTGACATTTCCTCCATGTCATTTCTTATTCAAAATATTAAGTCTGAAAATATTTGATTCATTTCAAAGTATCTAATATTTATTGAGCACTTACTCTGTAACAAGCACTGAGTAGGTGAAGTGGGAGGACAGAAAGAGGACCAATGTCTGTGTCCTTCTGTCTGAGGAGAGACAGTCACATGACTAAATAGTGACACCTGACAAAGGCTAGATTTCACTAACTACATTAACAGAGCTTTGGGCTGATATATGGATACAGAAGAGAGATAAATTAATTTTAACTGGGTGGTTCCAGGAAATAGTAGTTCTGATGGAAATTTTATTTCTGTCTTTACAGGATGGATCAAATTTTCATTTGTGAATATTAGAATAAAAGTTTATTACAAGAACTGATAGAGCTATTTAAGAAAAGGCAAGTGGTGGGTAAGGGAGTTGTGTCAGAGGAACTGCAAGGGAATTGTTGTGTGGTGGGTAGACTGGAGAAATGAGAGAAGGTAAAATGGAAAGTAGATCTAGAAAAGGGTTGGGATGAACTCATGGAAGCTTCAGGGAACTGAGTCCTGAAGAGAAGTCATGAAAAGTTTTCAAACAGGGACTGCTTCATAGTAAATGGTTGGAGAAGAATCTGGGGTCAAAAATTCAGCTTAATAATATAATATCACTTTGCTGAATAATTATTGTGTTTGCATTTTTTATAGATTTCAGGAGTACAAGCACCGTTTTGTTACATGGATATCATAGCGGTGAAGTCTGGACTGTTTGTGTACCCATTGCCCAAACAGTGAATGTTGTACCTGATAGATAATTTTTCAGCCCTTACTCCTCTTCTACCTTCCCACCTTTTGGAGTCTCCAGTGTCTATTCTTCCACTCTTTATGCCCACGTTTTCCAGTTGTTTCTGAGTGAGAACATGCAGTACTTGTTGTTTTTGAGTTAGTTCACTTAGGAACCTCTAGTTCCATGTACTGCTGCAAAGAACATGATTTCATTTTTTAAATGACTGAGTAGTATACCTGTGTGTGTGTATTATATATGCATGTGATATATGTGTGTGTGTATATATATATATATTATATATATACGTGTGTCACATTTTAATCCAGTCATCTGTTTATGGACACTTAGGGTTGATTCCTTAACTTTGCTACTGTGATAATGCTGCAATAATCATACAGGTACAGATGTCTTACTCATATAGAGATTTTTTTTCCCTTGGGTACATACCCAGTAGTGGGATTGCTAGTCACATGATAGTTCTATTTTTAGTTCTTTGAGAAACCTTCATAATGTTTTCCATAGCGGCTGTACAAATTACATTTCCACGAACAGTTTATATGTGTTTCCTTTCCTTCATATCCTCTCCAACATTGTTTTTTGACTTTTTTAGTAGTAGCCATTCTGACTGGTGTAAGATAGTATCTCATTGTGGTTTTAATTTGCATTTCTCTGATGATTGGTAATGTTAAGCATTTTTTTCATGGTTTTTGGCCAGTTATGTGTGTTCTTTTGAAAACAGTCTGTTCATGTCCTTTGTCCACTTTTTTTTTCTTTTTTGAGATGGAGTTTTTTGCTCTTGTTTCCCAGGCTAAAGTACAGTGGTGAGATCTCAATTCATCACAACATCTGCCTCCTGAGTTCAAGCAATTCTCCTGCCTCAGCTTCCTGAGTAGCTGGGATTACAGGCATGCACCACCATGCCAGGTTACTTTTGTATGTTTAGTAGTTTAGATGGGGTTTCTCCATGTTGGTCAGGCGGGTCTGGAACTACCAATCTCAGATGATCCACCCATGTCAGCCTTCCAAAGTGCTGAGATTACAGGCATGAGCCACCATGCCCAACCTTGTCCACCTTTTAATAAGGTTTTTTTTCCTGTAGTTTCGTGTGGATTCCAGATATATGTGCTTTGTTGGATGCATAGTTTGCAAATATTTTCTCCCATTCTGTGCATTGTCTGTTTACCCTGTTGATTATTTATTTTGCTATGCAGAAGTATTCTTAGTTTAAGTTCTATTTGTTAATTTTTGTTTTTGTTGCATTTGCTTTTGAGGACTTAGTTATAAATGCTTTGCCTAGGCAAATGTGTAGAAGAAATTTTTCTAGGTTTTCTTCTAGGATTTTTATACTTTCAGGTTACACATTTAAATCTTTAATATACTTTGAGTTAATTTTTCTATATAGTGAGAGATATGGAACTGGTTTTAATCTTTTGCATATGCTATTTAATTTTCCTAGCACCATTTATTGTGTAGGGTGTCTTTTCCCCACTTTATATTTTTGTTGACTTTGTCAAAAATCAGTTAGTTGTCAGTGTGTGACTTTATTTCTGGGTTCTCTATTCTGTTCCATTGATGTATGTATCTATTTGTATACCAGTACCATGCTGTTTTTGTTTTCATAGCCTTGTAACATAATTTGAAGTCAGGTAATATGATGCCTCCAGCTTTGTTCTTTTTGCTTAGAATTGCTTTGGCTATCTGGGCTCTTTTTTGGTTCCATATGAATGTTAGGACAGTTTTTTTCTAATTCTGTGGAAAATATTATTGGTGTTTTGATAGGAATTGCATTGAATCTATAGATTGCTTTTGGCAGTATGGTCATTTTAGCAATACTGATTCTTCCAATCCATGAGCATGGGATGTTTTTTTCATTTGTTTGTGTCATCTATGATTTTTATCATGAGTGTTTTGTAGTTCTCATTGTAGAAATCTTTCATTTCCTTAGTTAATGTATACTGAGGTATTTTATTTGTAGCATTTTTGGTTTCTTTTTGGATTGAGTTCCTGGTTTGGTATTACAGTATTACTATACCATACCTATGATTTTATTTCATCTTCACAATAACACTGTATTGTTTCCATTTTACTCAAAAGAAAAATGAGGTCTAGGAGGATAAATTAGTTTGCTCTGGAGCACATGGTAAGTACCCGAGCTGTGGTTCAAATCTGGGGCCTTCAAATGCTAACTTCTGTGTTATTCATTTTTCCCTTAATGCAAGGGAATTGTAATTAATGAGACAGAAGTAATATGATTATTCACTTGGACAACTGAAATCAGAAAAGACAGGGAAAATGATTTTTAAAATAGTTTGAAAGGAGATTCTGTGTATTCACAAGATTGGCTAGATGGAAAGGGCATGAGAAAGGGAGAAGTCTATGGACAGAAGGGACAACCAGTAGGGCTGTATTTCCATATGGGCCTCAACTCAGGAGGAACATCTTGGCTGGAAGTCTAAACCTGGAATTCATTCTTAGGAGGGGAAGATTGAAATGATTTGAGTGAATAATGTCATAGAGAGGATGAAACTACATGAGAAGAATGCATGGAGGAAGAGAGTTAACAGAAGGAAAAGGAGACAGCACCTCTTAGAGCAAGGAACAAAACCAAGTAACACAGACAGAGGTGAGAACACATCTAGGAAGAAATGAAAATAAAAATTATACAAAATGCTGCAGAGTGGCCAGTTGTTACTCGCGGACAACCATAGGAAAATAATTTCTTGAACCTGCAATTTTGTTAAGTTGCTCTTTAAAAAATGTGGTTTAAAGGAAATGTTGTGAGAATGAATGTGTTAACACAGGCAAAATGCTTGGTCCAATGCCAAGCATATAGTTTGTGGTCAGTAAAGTCAGCTCTCAGAATGATTGTTATAGTCATCATCATCATCATCATCATTATCATTGGTAACATGATTAACATTTATGTAATTAGTTCCAACACTTTGTGGGGCAGGAACAGATGACAAGAGAGTGAGAGATGTCAAAGAAGTAGGGAAGATAACCTAAAATATTTTTTAAAAAGCTTGGCAGTACATGGGAGGGCAGAGGACAGTAATTCAACAGGGACTAGTCTAGGGTGGAATATATATTTTACTTGGGGAAGACAGAGGCGGTAGAAATGGAGAAGGTGGGAATGACTGGCAGAGGAATAGTTTTCAAATAGACATGCAGGAAGTGGTCCAGGAATATGCTTTCAAATGAACATGCAGGAAGTGGTTCTTTTGAAGGGCTGTCAAGTTTAGCAGCCTCATAATAAAATTATCTAACAATATGTGTTTTTCATGCACAGGTGGAATGAGTTACAGAGAGGATTACAGTGGGGCGTAGCCTCAACCAGTGATTCATTTGTACAACTAAATTCCCATCGTGAAAATTATTTGAGAGTAAGTTCCACAACCAAAGCTGTGACTGCAGTTTTTCCATTCTTTAAAGATTAGTGATGCTGAAGCTAGATCTCAAGGAATGCAATTTAGACTCCTAATGGATCTTGCAGGAACATCACTGATTTTACTGTTAGAGTGTGTGTGTGTGTGTGTGTGTGTGTGTGTGTGAGAGAGAGAGAGAGAGAGAGAGAGAGAGAGAGAGAGAGAGACAGAGAGAGACAGAGAAGAAACATCTCATTTTTTCCCTTGTGCCAAAGGACATAAGAGTGAGTAAATCTTCACAGGGTATGAGATTGCAATAAGATGTGTGCAAATTTAGATGGAAATTAGGCATGTTCCCAGGGCTCCTGGAAAATTGCCAGCATAGTGCTCAAGACATTGCTTTTATAGACTATGTATATATTTATTTCTTTGTAAATCCAGTCTATAGAGTTTTCTGTTTATTATTGTTCCCAAGGACATTCTTTCTCCAAGCATTTCTCTCAGCAGAAACTAACTCAAAAGCATTTTTTAAACCCTATCAAATGTAATCAGCATTTTCTGTGAAATTTTCTCTCATTGATATTACTGTCCTGTTTCTTATAATTTCTGTTGTGAAACAATCAGAGTGAAAACTTATCAAAGATTTATAGGGGTGTGTTTTTGTATAAAGGACAATCACAAACATGGGGAATTAACAGTATTAATTAGTATTTCTCATGCTCCTTAAACATACTTTAAATGTATATTTGAAATATTTTCCGTTTTGTGATACAGTTTAATTCCTAAATGTCCTCCACAGCTTGAGTTGTTTTTGTAAATCATAATATGATAGTATAAGTTGAAAGTAGGTTATTGATTGCTGAAAAAATTGATGCTATTAGTTTTGAAATATCTGCTTGGTGCAAAAGTAATGCGGTTTTTAAAAACCAACTTAATAATTAATCATATCAATCTAATAGGTCAGTCATTCAGTCAAAGACTCAATGGCTACAAAATGAGAAAATATATATTATTGGATGTATATTTAAACTTTCATGGCTTTACTAAGTAAATGAAGTGAAATACAGGACCCACTTAATCGATGAGTTTTTTCTTCTTTGTACTTTGATATTACTCAGAATGAAATCACTGGAAATGATACAGTCATTTACTAATTTTTATTTTATGTTGACTTCATTAATATTAATAATATAATAGCTTTTCATAAAACAGATGCCTTTCACAAGCATTTTATTTCTATTTTTAGAATTAATCTATTAATTTCATTGACACACTTTAATTGTACATATTTATGGGGTACAGTTTTATGTTTTGATACATACATGATGCTTAATGACCAATCAGAATATTTAGTATATCCTTCACCCTATGCATTAACCATTTCTTGGTGGTAAGAACATTCAAAAGCCTCTCTTCTAGCAATATTTTAATATACAGTACCTTTCCATTAACCAATTTCACCCCACTGTGCAATAGAACACCAGAAATTATTCTTCCTATATAGCCTTGTACCTGTTGACCAATATCTCCGCATCCTCCTTACCCTCTTGTCCTGCCGATCTCTGGTAACCTCTGTTCTAGTCTGCACGAGTGTTATATATCGCTGCTTTTAGAGCTTGCAGCACACTTTTGAGAATAAAGAAAGAATTGTGGTTGAAGATTTGGAGAAAGGCCTATTTTTGATCCAGAGGATCTATTCTCGGCTGGAAGTCAGACTGTTCGTTCTTCTTCTGGCTCCCATGACCAGCCAAAGGCCTCAGGCAAGGCTGGGAAACCATCTCGAGGTGGACAGAGGAATGTCTGACTCCTATCCTCAATTTCAAAGGATTGCCCTCAGAACTCAGCAAGGCTTGACAAAAGTAATACATGCATTTATTTTTTACTCAAATAACTTTTTTTGTGTGTTTTTCTAATTATGCTGTTGAAATAGTGGCATTACTCTCAATATTCTAGATATTTAAAATGAAGATTAGGCCCATGTACACAGAACAAAACAAACCACTTCTAGTTTCTGATATATTAGAGCCATCTTGTTCTCTTTAAGATTTTGGTTTGAGGCTTTTTAGATCCAAACTATAGTGAACTGAATATCTGTTTCACCATTTTTGGGTATTAATTTAACCAAGCAATTTGTTATCCATTATTGTAGTTTACAGGCAGGGAATTCAGTGAGAGTTTTAATAATAGATTTTTTAAATGGGTGCCTTAGAGCCTGTTCATGGTTCCCATTGTAGCACATGAAGGTACACTGAGATGACTCCTGGTATATTAAAAGTTATGTTTTTAAGAGATTTAGAAGGTGGCTGGCAACAAAATTTGGCTTAGTAAAAAAACTAAAATAAGGGTGACTGAAAAAAGCAAACAGAAGCTATCAGCAAAGACTTAGATTAGCATTTTGGCAGTTGGATTAGTGCATCTCTGCTGGCATGACCCCTTTCTTCCGTTCCTCAGGGCTCATCTTTCTCTTCCTTGAAACTGAAGTCAACAACATTATTCCAAAGGGTGGCTTTCCTTTCCCATGGCTTTTGCTCTCGGATTTTTATTTCTTTTGTGATAGATAGGTGTGTAATTTAAAGCATTAAATAGTTCAAGTTTACCAGCATCCTTAGCAAACTTGAACTATTTGATGCTTTAAATTACACGCACCTATCTATCACAAATGTATACACCACTTTCCTACTTTCTTCTTGTAGAAGCATGACTTTCAACTCTATCATCTCTGTATTATAAACATGAATGTATTTCTGTCTTGAAAATGTTTAGCTCTAGGTGCTAGCTCCTCAATGACTTCTGGAAACAGGATTTAGATCTCTTTCTCTCCTGTCTTTTCTTTCCTCTCACACCAAAACCTTAGTTATTCCTAGCCCCTTATTCTTGAATTTTATAATTTTGAGTCAGATCAATACATATTATAGTGTTTATGCTATTATGGCTATGCAAACACTACCCACATCTGAGCCTTATTTTTTATATTACATTTTTATGTGTACATATATATATAAATTTTCATTTCCTGCACAGATTACAATTTCTCTTTTTTTTCTTCTGACTAGTTTTTTTTTCCTAATAAATGTTTACCATTCTTTCTCTCCAGATTCACCTCCAGTTGATGAAATCTCTTCCCAACATACTGCAATAATCAGATGTGTTATTTGTGTCATTTTTCTCTAAGAGGATTCTAACCTCTTCCAATCTGGGCAGGATGCCCTCTGTGCCTGGTGCAGAGGTGTTAGTAGTTGCTTGTCTCATTGTATCTATTTTCTCTTTTCAGTGCCCATGTCAGTTTTTGGTTTTTGAGACAGGGCCTCACTCTGTCACCTAGGCTGCTGTGCAGTGGCATAAACATGATTCACTGCAGTCTTGACCCCCTGAGCCCAAGTGATACTCCTGCCTCAGCCTCCCATGTAGCTGGTACAAGCTAATTATTTTACTTATTTGTAGAAGCAGGGTCTGACTTTGTTGCCCAGCTGGTCTCAAATTCCTGAGCTCAAGCAGTCTTCTTGTCTTAGCTCCTTAATGTGCTAGAATTGCAGGCATGAGCCACCACACCTGGCCTGCCCATGTCTTTCTCTGTCAATGTATTTCTTCATTTTGTTGAAGCCAGCCACTAAGAACTTTCTGAGAAAAAAAACGCAAGGGAGGAGATGGTGTTTGAAATGAATAATGTATAAAATGTCTTTAAGTGAATAATATTTTGGTACAAAATTCTAGCCTGGAAAGTCATTTTCTTCCATCTTCTAGCGTCGTTATTGATACAAAGTCATTTTAAGCTACTTTGTTTTTTCCTTCTAGAAGCTTGTAAGAACTCCCTTTGTTCTCCATATGCTAATACCGTGGTTTGCCTTACTGTATATTTAATGAGATTCATAAGGTGGGTGCTTGGTGGTTTTTTTCAACTTGGAAGTTCATGTTTTCCATTGCTGAGAATTTTCTTAAGTAAATTATTTCCTTTTCTTTATTCTAGTATTTTTTCTCCCTGAAGTTAGTTGGATAGTGGACATCCTGGACTCTCTAGTTTTCTTATTCTTCTCACTTATTTTCTGCTTTTTTTAAAATATATATATTTTCTGAGACATTTTCTGAACATTATGTTCTATACTATTTTGAGTTTTTATTTCTGTTAGCATATTTTTAATTTTCAAGAGAACTCTTTCTGCGAATTTTCCTTTATATTAGTTGCTTCTTCTTGTTTAATGAATATAATGCCTACTTTTCTCTTTAAAAATGTTTATTAAATCTTCTTTCTTTGGATGTTTTTTCCTTCTCCTTCATGAAATCTGTTTCCTCAAATATTTCCACCTACCTCCTCTTCAGCCATTTTGACATTTATTTTTCATGTTAGACTATTTCCTTACATGCTCAAATACCCTTAATTATCTGCTACTATCTAAAAAGTTTCTAGGAGACTCTGAGCAGATGAATAGAATTTGTTGATTGTGGTGCCCTCTGTAACGTTATCTAGCAAGGGTATTTCATTGGATAACCTTTGGGTCTTCTCATGTGTTGGCATATTTCCCAGAGACCTAATTTCTAGTCTCCTGCATGGAGACTCCAGGAGTGACTGCCAGGATTTAGGGAAGCAGAAGGGAAGGCCTTCAAAAAGTAAAAGTAAAAGAAAAAAGCAGTTTGTAATTTTACTCAAATCACACCTTTTTCTCTATTGTTCCTTAATAGCATTATGATTCTCCCAGTCATCCAGACTCAAAACCTTAAAACTGTCTTAAAATATTCATTAAACTTTTATTTATAAATCCAGGTTTTATCCAGGCACATGTTATCTCCCTACTATACTGCAAAATATTTGTTCATGGGACCCAAGAGTCAAAGAAACATGGTAGAATGGTTCAGTGCATAGAATGCATGCCTGAGCTTGAATCTTGATTCTGTCATTTGCCAACTGAATGACATTCACATTTACAAGGCTCAGGTTCAGTACTTCCCAGGATTTCTTCAAACCCCAAATTAATGTTACATAGTATTTTTCTGCACATGGAACTTTTTCTCTCTAATATTACAATTTTTATATGTTTGATTCCTGTTGTTACATTTTAAAATCTAGTCAGTTTTTCTTTTCTTTTTTTCTTTTTTTTTTTGAGATGGAGTTTCACTCTTGTCACCCAGGTTGGGGTGCAATAGTGCAAACTTGACTCACTGCAACCTCCACCTCCTGGGTTCAAACAAATCTCCTGTCTCAGCCTCCTGAGTAGCTAGTATTATAAGTATGTGCCACCACACCCAGCTAGTTTTTGTATTATTAGTACAGATGGGGTTTTACCTTGTCAGCCAGGCTAGTCTCAAACTCCTGACTTCAGGTGATCCACCCACCTTGGCCTCCCAAAGTGCTCGGATTACAGGCATGAGCCACCACGCCCAGCCAGAATCTAGTCAGTTTTATAAATAAAGCATTGTTTATAAATTTATCTTCCACTTTGATGTGCCACAAATTGTTTTTCCTCCTCAATACTTGTGCCTAACAATACTTTAAAAAAATTATTTGGAATTTACAGTTTGTCTCCCTTCATGAATTACTCAGCCTTTGCTTCTGTATACTCTAATCACTGATGGAAATTTCTCTGAGTTTCCAGGATCTTTATGAAGTACTCATCTTTCCATTCACTTAAAAAATGTTTTTATTTGAGCTGCCTCTATTTCCTAGAACTTTTCTTTTATTAGTGACCTACATAATGGAGTTTTTTATATGGTCAATACTTACTCATTTTACTCTTCCTTAACAACTCTGAAAACCTTCCTGATGAATGGATGTGTAGGAAGTGGTGTCTAGTATGCATATAAATTTTAGCTGTTCCATTCATCAGCCGTGTAAAGTAACAGTAATTAGAGTGAAATTGCAGGCTATGGGAAAGTGTTAGGTGTGGCCTGTCATTAATGAAGGCAGTATGATGTAGTGTCAAGTGTGAGGGAAGCTGTGTAGAGAGAATGTTTTGTGTCTGAGAAAGATTGAAGAATTGGTTACCATGCTCTGTTTCTATTGTAAATAGGCCATATTGAAAGAAGATAGCATAATGTAAAAGCATTTAAGAGCAGACTGCTCAAGAATGAATTGAGGCTGAGGGATTGCTTCCACAATAGCACAAGTAAAAAGGCCCTTTTCATTTGAGTAAATGGGAGTTTGAAATATGTTAAGACAGAAATCTTCCTTTTTAATGGCAAGTTGGACACTATAATATTATTTGTTTCTTGGTGTTTTACAGCATTATGGGAGCTGGTGGTTTTAAAAGCCTCTCTCCAAAGATAGCTAAGATGATCTGGATTTGACTGTGGTCAGGGAAAGTTTTCTGAGGTTAGATTACTATTTAAAAATATCCTTTCAGCTTTATTTAAAAAAACTTCACATGCTTCGTAAATAAGTTTTTGGAATTATATCTTAAGTGCTTTAAAATCATTTGCTAATTGACACTCCCTATGGAAACATAAGACTTTAGCTCTTTTTCACTTATGGTTAAAACGTGAAGAGTTTATGCTCTATAGTGCAGATAATTTAGATCCTCTTACCTGTGATTTAAAAACATTTGCTTCTCCAAAGACAAAGCAACAGTCACAGATTTGAAAGCTCTTCATTTTGTGTTATTGTTTCTTGTTTGCCTAACTAAGCGTACATTTTTTAGCTCTAACAATTTCCTTATGTATCAAGTGAGCTTTACTCTTAAAATCATAGAGACATAAAACGATACATGCTATCAGTTCATAAACCAAAACACATTGGAGTGATTTAGCATAAATAAATGCATGAAACTGTGGGGAACAATTGTCTGGTAAAAGTGTAATGTGCTCAGTTATGCCACAGGTCTCTCACCCGTATTACTTGGAGATGATTCTGTCCCTCAGTAATTCTAGCCTCAATGCCATGCACTCATGGGATTTATGGTTTGTATCTTCCTGTTTAAGATAGTTACTCACTAGGAAGAACTGCAGAACTGACAGAGTGGTAGGAACGGCAACTTTTTTTAAGTCATTATTTTTCGTTTTAGGTTCAGGCTTATAATAGTGACATGTTCTTCTTTTATTTTGGTCCATCTTTTCATATATCTTTATGTGTGTATATGTATGGACACACACAAATATATGTAGGCATAGACAAGTAAATGTCTCTATATATCTATTTTTTATAGGCACACTCTTTTTTCCTGTATTAAGTAGTGCTTTTTTTTTTTTTTCAAATCGAAGGTTCTGCCAATCCTGTATCAAATGAGTCTATTGGTGCCAACAGCATGTGCTCACATCTTGTCTCTGTCACATTCTGGTAATTCTTGCAACATTTCAAGCATTTTCACTATTATATATGTGTGGTGATCTGTGATCAGTCAATTATTGTAATTGTTTTGGGGTACCACAAACCACACCCACAATTAATAAATGCTGTGTATGTTCTAACTGTTTCACTGACTGACCATTCCCCTATCTGTCTCACTTTTCTTAGGAATACCTATTCCCTTAGAAAGAACATTATTGAATTAGGTCAATCAATAACCCTACAATGGTTGTTAAGTTTTCAAGTGAAAGCGAGAGTCACATGTCTTTGACTTTAAATCAAAAGCTAGAAATAATTAAGCTCAGCGATGAAGGCATGTCAAAAGCCAAGACAGGCCAAAAGCAAGGCTTCTTGCATCAAGCAGTTAGTCAAATTGCGAATACAAAGGAAAACTTCTTGAAGGAAATTAAAAGTGCTACTCAAGTGAAAACATAGATGATCAGAAGGCAAAACAGCCTTCTTGGTTGTATGGGAAAAGTTTTAGTGGTCTACATAAAATATCAAACCAGCCACAACATTCACTTAAGCCAAAGCCTAATTGAGAGCAAAGCCCTAACTTTCTTTAATTCTATGAAGGCTGAGAGAAGTGAAGAAGCTGCAGAATAAAGTTTGAAGGTAGCAATAATTGGTTCATGAAGTTGTGGAAAAGAAGCTGTCTTTATAACATAAAAGTGTAAGGTGAAGCAGCAAGTGCTGATAGGGAGGCTGCAGTAAGTTATTCAGAAGATCTAGCTAAGATCATTGATGAAGGTGACTACACTAAACAACAGATTTTTGATGCAGACAGAACATCATTATATAGGAAGAAGATGTCATCTGGGACTTCCATAGCTAAAGAGAAAAAGTCATTTCTTAGCTTAAACCTTCAAAGGATGGACTGACTCTCTTGTTAGGTGCTAATGTGGGTTGTGACATTAAGTTGAAGCCAGTGCTCATTTACCGTTTTGAAAATCCCAAGTAACTTCACAATTATGCTATATTTACTCAGCCTGTGCTCTATAAGTGTAATAACAAACCCTGGATAACAACATGTCTGTTTACAGCATAATTCACTAAATATTTTAAGCCTGTTGTTGAGACCTACTCCATAGAAAAAGAGATTTCTTTCAAAATACTCCTACTTGTTGTTGACAGTGCACTTTGTCACCCAAGAACTCTGGAAGAAATGTACAAGGAGATTAATGTTTTCATGCTTGATAACACAACATCCATTCTGCAGCCCATGGATTAAAGAATATTTTTGTCTTTCAAGCCTTATTATTTTAAAAAATACACTTTGTAAGTTTATCACTGTCATAGATAGTGATAATGAAAACCTTCTGGAAATGATTCACCATTCTAGACACCATGAAGAACATTCATGTTTCATGGGAGGAGGTCAAATATCAATACTAACAGGAGTTTGGAAGAAGTTAATTACACACCTCAAAATTTCAGTGTATGAAGTAACTGCACATATGGTAGAAAGAGAACTCAATTTAGAAGGCAAGCCTGAGGATATGACTGAATTGCTAAAACCTCATGATGAAACTTAAATGGATGAGGAGCTATTTCTTATAAAAGAGTAAAGAAAGTGGTTTCTTGATATGGAATTTATTCCTCATTAAGATGTTATAAGCATTGTTGGAGTGACTAATAGGATTTAGAATACTTTATAAACTTAGTTAATAAAACAGAGTTAGATTTTGAGAGGATTGGCTCCAATTTTGAAAGGAGTTCTACTCTGGGTAAAGTGTGATAAAAACAGCATTGCTATAGAGAAATCTTTTCTGAAAGGAAGAGTCAGTGTGACAAACTTCATTGTTTTATTGTAAAGGATTGCCACATCCACCCAACCTTCAGCAACTACCCCTGATTAGCTGGTGGCCATCAACATTGAGGTAAGACCCTCCACCAGTAA